CAAACTTTCTTTTGTACTGAAAAATTCTACCCCACAAGCCCCGACACCACCAAAAACACTAAATTTAAAAAAATATATTGAAAAGCAATAAAATTATTTATACATATACATATATTATTGCAACACAGAAACTTATAAATAAATATGTTATAATTATATTAAATTATTTTAAAATAGTACACACCTTCTGGTCCTACAGTCATAACAATGATTTCAGAATTCAAGTTAAAAGTCGCCCAAAGATAACTGTTAGTTTTTAATTGAACAAGAGACTTGCAACTTATACAACAGCTACATTCCCATGTTGGGGGTTGCAATATTTCTATTGTATGTTCATTTTTATCACCCTGTAGACGCTACATCTATTAGGTCTTGTCAATGAGAGTTTTTGTTTTTGTCGAGATTAGCGATTTTGAATTTTAGTCAACTTTTAAAGTCAAATATTCAACTGTGCGTCGTAGATTCAGTATGTTGAATAATATGTATATTAGTGATTATTTTAATGCAAATATGTTCACGGCGAAATAATTATTATAAATTGTTAGTATTCAAAAAAAAAGCCATGCTAATCTATGTTATTTATTGAAAGAATTCAGTCTATTTCGAATACCTACATGTATTTAAAACATTATACATATGTAGTTATTAAATGGTACTTCTTTGTATTCATTTTCTGTATAATTGTATATTATTAATTGTATGTTATTATTATTTAATATTTGTTTACTATATTTTACTATTGTTATATACACCAAGTTGTGGCGTACCCAAGGAGGGGGCTAGAGGGAGCAAGCTCCCGCCCCTGTCTACATTGTCGCCCTAGGACCCCAAGCAAAACACGTTAAAAATTCTATGAATAATTATAGAAAATATTTTTTTTTTTATTAATGTTTAGTAACCTGCTATATATTAATATCACAACTTAGTGAAATAGACCAATTAAAACAGAAAAACAACTTTTTTAATTTAGTTGCAATACTCCTTGGCATCCTTAGAACTAATTAAATTTAGTTTGCTTTGTTCATATTCAGTAAGAAATTAAATAAACAAAAATTAGTACAAAACAGGCTGAAATAAATACAACATAAAACACATTAATGGTCTTTAACGTTATATACAAACTAGTCCAGGGTGAATTACCAAATATGTCAACAAAACATTTGGCAGAAGTTGCATGTTGATTGTTATTAATACTTTTGGGTTAAAATTTTTATTAATATTTTGGAACGGTATTCTCACAAAAAATATTTTTACTATTTAAAATTTGACCTCGATCATCAGCCATACGTCAAGAATATAATTGTTATCATTTTGTTCTTTGTTTTGTATATTTATGTACTGGGAGATTTTACAGTATTTGTTTTATTATGTTTTGATTAATTCAAAATTAAAAAATAACAAATTTAAAATCATTTCATTTGGATACTACCATTAAGATTAGTGTCCCCAAGAATGCTGTACCCCCTCCGCCCTGATAGGCTTTTCACGCTACTAATACCAAGACGAAAAGTAATAGTGAAGTACAATCGTGGATCTTTGTTACTAGATCGTCCTGTATTTTGACATCTTAAACACAGCATCATTGAATTTCTATTTTCATTCAATAGTATGGTAGATCTCGATTATTATATATTATTTTATGTATCCTATAATCTCCCTGATAACGAGTTCGTAGTATAATGTCACTAGTATAACGAAACGTTAAATTCAAAGGTAAGAAGTGTGTCAACCTTTTGAAGTTGTAATTCTTGTGAGATTTTTTATTCTGTGTACAAAAATTGGTGGTTTACAAGGCTAAGGGCCGGTTTATTAATGCTTAGTTAACTTTAAGTAGAGATAATCGTTCCAGCAGTAGCGGCATGTGCTATGGTTTGCAGGTTTGCACAACCCCCTAAAGCGATAACGAAAAAAGTTTTATTTAATTTTTCGTAATAATAATCAACTCAATATATTCGATTTAATTGGTTATATATATATATATATATATATATATATATATATATATATATATATATATATATATATATATATATATATATATATATATATATATATATATATATATATATATATATATATATATATATATATATATATATATATATATATATATATATATATATATTTACAATAGGTACCTACATAATTTACCAAAAACACTGATCACTTTTGGTGCCGTCGCAACCACTTTTATTTACGTTAGAAATCGACGCTGGTTTGCAGACAGCCGGCAAACCAATTTGTTCCATTGCAGCCCTGCCGATCTTGTAACGGTCCATTTTTAGAAACAATTAACTTACGTTCTATTTAATGCTAATTGCATGATTTGGTTTGAGGTAAACCTTAAAAATTATAGAACCGACTTTATTTATTTGTAAATCTTTGATAATTTGTGCGCCACTGGACCTTGAGTGCGCCCGCGCGAACACCGCTATGTGGGAACGCTTGAACTGAGACGCGGGGACTCTCCGCCAAGCCACGGCAGAGAGCAGATGTGTATTTACGTTATCTTATATTTTCGTTATCTTACATTTATGTTATCTTATGTTTTAAGAGGAGACTTGAGTCGTAGTGTACATTGCTAAAATTGTGTTGCACGATTTTATATGGTTAAGCTGTTATAGTGATGGAGTTACGAATTGAGGCATAGGAAAGCCATGTGAGAAGGTAGGATCCCTCATTATTAATAAAATAGGTACCTATTCGAAAATTAAATAGTTTCCGCTCCGAGTTGGAGTTGGAAATCTGCAGATTTAAACTGGCATCACAAGGCTGATTTGCCGATATATCTAGAGGTGGAGAAAGCCCCCTAGAGTTTGTTTTTGATCTTGAACTGTGCTATAAACTTTATGGAAAGGTAACCGTTGTTTCCCCCTTTCTACGGCCCTAGTGAATGTAGATTTTAGACTTTTAAAATATGTAACTTTCCCAGACTTTGTATAAAAAGAAAGGCGGGTGGCGCCCTAAAAAAAAAAGACTTATTAGTTGAAATTATTTGAGATTTTCTGAAGCTTTTATTTTTTTTGTATGTACTGTATGACACCTGGTATATTACTTGTTAACCACGCCGTGAGGTTCTTTTTGCTCTATATATTAAATATATGTATTTATTTTCTTTGTGCGTTTTATTTAAATAATAAAAAAATAACGAGGGAAAACCCTGGCGTTATAATCTCTCAGACTCTCCCTTTTCCATACGAGTCTATTCCATAAAAGTTCAATAGATTTCAAATCAAGTGTAAACTTAGTAGCTTAGTAGTATCTTCAGAACTGAGGGCATTAGCCAGCCAGTTTTTACTTTGTTATACCTAATATAAGTAAGTATAGTAATTGTGATTTTTTTTCGACCTCGATATTTTGATTGATTTATACGTTTTGAACCCTCCTGAATCTATTCTGACTATTTTCCGAATGATGTCTGTCGGTGCGTGTGTGGATGTGTGTGTGTGTATGTGTGTATCCGCGATAACTCAAAAAATACTAATGGGAAGCTTCCCAAATTTGACAGTTAAGATTGTCAATAACATTTTAAGTGACACATTAAATTTGGTGAATGTGGTACCACCAGAAGAGACATAATGAATGAAAGAAGAAAAAAGGTACAATTTCGGGAAAAAAAAATAAAAATTTGTATTGTATTTCTAGACGAATCTCGACGAATTATAATGAAAAAACATAAATTTATGGAAAAAAATCTGTCTGCATGTCTGTAGTATCGCGATAGCAACCACAGTTTTTGAGATAAAGCTTTCAAATTTGGTACACTGTTCTAAACGCCAAAGACAAAGAACAATTCGGTGATGAGAAAAATTGGCCAGCTAAATCATGTCTGCTATATCAAGCGAATAAAACATATTTTCCAAGTACTTAAATAAAGATGCTGTGAACTGAAATTTTGTACGCATTTGACCTCATAAAATGGGGTCAGGATAAATCTGGCAGTTGACATTTGAAATATATAATTTAGTTACAAAAATGTCAATGTCAATAAGATTATTAAAATATATGACATGAATTATTATTGACAGTATCGAAGGACGCTGATAATTAATTATTAAAAAAAATTTATGAAACATTTCAATGTACGTTTTTAAAATTTAATTATAAGTGAAGCATTAAACAGAATGATTTTTTTAGATCAGAATGATATACTGGTATAAGAAAGTTATGTGCTGGCCGCATCAGATATTTTTGTATGTAATGTGTATGAACGACATTTTTTTTTATAAAAATTAATTCTGTGCAATGTTTAATAGCGGAGCCAATTTGTAGTCGATCTTCCACCGACCAAATTGAAATAGAAAGTCTAGGAAGACCCACTCTGAATTTAAACATAAAACAATCCGTTTCTAGTAAAAAATTTAATTCAGACGTTTATAATAAACATAAGTGGATTTGTGGTTGTGATGTGAAAACTGCGCTCTTTTGCCAAAAGAAAACTTTGTGCTCAAACATATGACCAGTAATCACAGAGAAGAAATGATGGTGCAGCAGTCATGAACGGGTGGGTGGGTCATTTACGGGGTGCAAGCAATTATTAATTAATGTTGGTTAGTCTGAAAGTTAGTTTATATTATATTGTCTATAGTTGTTTACTTGTGGCATCCTATAATATTTCTTCTCATTTTCTTTGGGTATTAAGCCATTGTCCTATAATAAAAAAAAAATGTGAAATAAAGCTCTGAGCCAAAAAGATTAGTCTGAGTTTGGTTTTCGATAAAAAATTTTGGCATATCCAAAAATGTCTCAGACCTAAAAATTTACCTAAAAATTGAAGTGTCGTATTGTATTACTTTCGAAATAATTCGGTGGTAACTATGGTGTATCCACAATGTTGATATAATAAAACGTTTATCATTCAACTACTTTATCACAAACTAATACCGGTACAAGTGTTACTTTCTTTACATTAGCTTTTAAGATACGCATCTATCTTTCTTGAAGGCAAGTAGTAGACTGTTCTCCTTATGTCTTAGTGTGGCTTCGTGGTCGAGTGGTGTGGCTTCGTGGTCGAGTGGTAAGGACACCTGACTCTCACCCTGAAATGTTTTAAATTGCAATTGGAATTGGACTCTCACCCTGGAATCCCGGGTTCGATCCCCGGCCAAGGAGCTAGGATTTTTTTCTAAACCACAAATTAACCCTAGCATACTCGGACATTGGGTGTGTGTCCCTTGTCTGTAAATGTGTAGCCCTCTCCTACACAAGGTATCATTAGGTACCTTCAGGGATACAGGGGGTGGTCGTATTACCTGTGTGTTTAGTATTACCTGTGACTCGTTCACTACAGCGCATGTGCACTTCGTAATACCAAGATTACAGTAACATTCCATTATTCTCAATCCAACCACTTTCTGTTGGATCTTCCATGATTGTATTGATCCATAAATAGCTTAAGCCCATTCATTTGACTACAAGCAAGCTTGGTGCATATGTTAAAGTGCTGGCTGGCAACGATGCATGGAGGCAATTTATTCATGGACGGACTTTTTTTTATTGCTAAATGATACAGTAGTAATGAATTTATGCCGTAATACGATCTGCATTCGACCTAATCTTAGGAACATATAAAGCAGCTAGGAAGATTTTACCTACTTGTTAGCCACCACGTATGCATCATGGTAGTCAAACGATGATCTGGCTCTAGCATCCTCTTCAATGCTTGAAATGCAGATTTCTTGTCAATGCCAAACAGAGATGACACCATATCACATATCCAGTAAGACCATGTACAACTGGAAGAACAGCAGATAGCGTGGGATCTAAGTTATTTATGAAGACTTTATTGACACGTAGCGACAATGATCAATGAAAGATATTGTTCAGCAAGTAAAAAACTAATACTCAGCTTTTGATACGAAGTTTTCAAAGTGTTTACTTAATAGAATCAATACATCTGTATCAGACAACTCAACAACTATAGGGTAGTTTTTTCAATTGTATTCATTTTCTACATGGAAAATAAGACTCGTGTCTGCATCTAAATGGTTGCACTCATGATACAAATAAATAGAATATGATTAGACGGTCTCATTTTCGTTTGGTTCTGCGCATAACGTCACGCTGTTAATAAACGCCCACTTTATACAAACGAGGTCTGCGATAAATGAGGCAAAATAATGAAAATGTAGGATTCTTTTTTTCTTTACATCACAAATATTGAAATAAAACACGTATATAAAAGCGTACAATAATACATATTTAGTAATAGCTTAAACAGGAACGAAAGATTACTGGGGTTTTGATGGAATAAAAACTTTATTTTGTATACAAAAAAAAAACACAATTTCGGGAGGTGAGAACAGTTATAACAACTGACATGAAAACTACTAACCGCGTGACGTAAGTAAAAATGGGATCGAGTCTGCTTAATATCATACTTCTCGTTTATTGTATCATGGATTGCATTCAATTTCGGGGTGTATATAATGATAAAGAGACTCAGCAGTGACAAATATGAGCATTTTCAAGTAAGTCAAGACCTCCAATGAGAACTATATTTTTGTCTCGACTTTCTTACAGAATTTTACTCTTCGGTAAATTATATTTTATGTAACAGCATATAAATTCCGTAAATCAGATTCATTTTCGTCATTGGATAATAGTTTTTTCCAGTCAGGCCAGTGCCTATAACCTTTTACATCAAATTTATTTTATCCACTGCAGTATAAGATATGCTCTAGAGTTAGTAATTTCTGATAAACAGAGTTTTAAAAAAAATTATACTCTATAAGTTTTTTCAAAACTTTTTTGGCTACGATGCATTGTTTTTGCATTATTACGATAATTATCGGAAGTGATGCACTTTATAAACAAATACATGGTATTTTAACGTAGTTTTTTGTTTTAAAAAATAGGTTAAGATGATAATACATTGATATATTTTACATCGAAGACATCTCGAATATGTCTCTGAAAGAATCTGGAAGAATTTTAACTTTATGAGTCGCTCAAATTTACATAATCGAAAGCATTACAATATTTCTCGCAGGCCATCTTCATAGAGGAATATTCCAAAGTTCCCCGGTTTAAAAATAAATAAAAAATACAGTCTTCCGTTTGATGTACTATCAATTAAAAATTAAATAAGCCTTGCCAACGCGATTAGTCGATCATGTCCGAAAAATAAGGGTAACGTGCTTGCCTATTAAAATTTTGTCAGTTTAGAAAATGTAATTAGGTATGCTGTTTAATAAAATTTAAATTTAGATAGCGATCCTCTCCAAAATATTTCGCGTTGTTTTTTCTTTTTTTAAAATATTTTTGAGTTTATTAAAAATTTGTTAATTTACCTGTTTAAAGTTTTTTATTTTTTTGTACACAGGAAATTATTTATATTTAAAATAAAATCGTGATATATTACAAATACAAGGCTTTCGAGGGCATAGTTTCCGAAGCAAAAAAAATATCTCACTGATTAAACCACTGAACATTAAAATTCTTAAAACAACGAGTCTCACTAGACGTGCTAGTCACGGTCCAGTCACGGTTCATTTTTTTTATTGCTTGACTTACCTACCGTTACCATCACGTGTAATTTGAACGGAAACGTGGTTATAGGTAAGAGCGATCTGGACGGCCAGGACGGGACCCGGACGGGGTTTTCCCGGGGGGGAGCGGCCCCCCGCAAAGGAGGGGGGGGGCGCCCCCCCCGGGTCAAAAAAAAAGGGGGTGGGGGCCAAAAAAAAAAAGGGGGGGGGGGGGGGGGGAAAAGGGGGGGGGGAAAAAGGGGAAAACCAAACCCACACAGGGGGTCCCCCCCCCCCTTCTCCCCCCCCCAGTTTTAAAAAAAAAAAAAAAATAATAAAATATTTTTTTTTTTTCTTTTTTTTTTTTTTGGTAAAAAAAAAAATATCTGATGTAGCCAGCACATAACTTTCTTATACCAGGATATATCGTCCTGATCTAAAAAAATCATTGTGTTTAATTCTTCACTTACCTTAATTAAATTTTAAAAACGTCCCTTGAAATATTTCGTACAAATTTTTTAATGATTAATTATCAGCGTCCTTCGATACTGTCAATAATAATTCGTTATATATTTTAATAATTTCTTCTTATTGACATTGACATTTTTGCAACTAAATTAGATATTTCAAATGTCAAACTGACATATTTATTCTAACCCCATTTTATGAGGTCAAATGAGTATAAAATTTCAGTTTACATCAGCTTTATTTAAGTACTTGGAAAATGTATTTTATTCGCCTGATATAGTAGACTTGATTTATAATCATTCATCAAGAATATATTTTTTTGTAAAGTCAAATACAAAAAAGTTTGGGTCCAGTGGACCCCCTTTCAGCTGGACAATTTTACTCATCACCGAATTTTTCATTGTCTTTGACCTTTAGAACAAGTGTACCAAATTTGAAAGCTTCATCTCAAAAACTGTGGTTGCTGTCGCGATATTACAGACATGCAGACAGATTTTTTTTAAGTTCTGTTTTTTCATTATAATTCGTCGAGATTCGTCCAGAAATGCAATAAATATTTTTAATTTTTTTCCGAAATTGTACCTTTTTTCTTCTTTCATTCATTATGTCTGCACTCACACCCAACCACACACACCCACACAGACACACCCACACGCGCATACGCGTGTTCACGCATACACACACACACACGTGCACCCACACCCACCCACACCCACCCACCCAGCTTTAAACAAAAAAAAAATGTTTTGTTCTTTAAAAAAAACATGTTTTTAAAATTAAGTGAATTTGTTCAGCTTTAATTCTATAATTATAATTCAATAAAACAAAAATTTACAAGCATTAGTACATTTTATTTGTGTTGTTTTTTTGTTTTACATAAATTTACATTCTTGTCTGTATATAACTACCTGCTATTATCTATACACAAGATATTTTGTATTATATTTATTTAAATATTAAGTTATTATGTTATATCTTAAAAACTAGTGACTAGAATTCACTCATTTGGAATGTTTTATTTTCCAGAGAAGGCGCAAATAAAGTAAAACTGAGGGATTCTTATAAAATTTTAAAATAAATACGATGTACAATTTAAAACTAGTTAACCATTTAAATTAAATAATGTACATTGTGATTTTAATATTTAATTAGTGGAAATATATTTTATCCTAAACTATTAAATTAAAATAAATAACTACCTATACCTATCTTATTTGCATAATTCCTTACTTTACTTCAGTGATTGATTTATAATATAAATGTGAAACATTCTCAAAACATATTCTTACGGCATTCAAAGCAAGAGAAACAATTTTTAAAGAGAATTTCGTGTGATTCTGAGATGCATAGATGAAACAATCAACGAGAATATCTTTGCTAGATAATATTACAGTGAGCGCCATATATTCTCTTTGGTTGTCATGGTTCTGAATCTCTACTAGTAAACTTTGTCTCTACCTTTCATGCTCTACTCCATAAAGGTGTCTTGTTAATTTTTTTTTTATTTTTAAGACGATATTGAGAAATTTTAAACTATATCCCTATTTTATGTCAGTAGGATATTAAGGAAGTTTAGCAGTTTTACTAAGTACATAACAAAATTTAATACTATATTGTATTTTTTTGTTTAACCAAAACAATACGAGTCTACAAAGAAGTGTTAAATACTAGTTTTAAGTTTGTTTTAATATTTAATCATCATGCATCATTAATTTACCACAAATTGTTTGATAAATACATAATTGCAAAATCTACTACTAATATGCATAATATTGTAGAGACATAACTGGTGAGCTGTTTTCCAATTACTTAGTGATTGTATAAAATTATTACTTAAATGGTAAATCCGAGAAAGAATGTGTAATAGAATTGTTGACATTTTTTAGCAGCCTTGTTTTCGAAACAACCTTTCTGTACACCAAACCAAACAGAAACATTTTAAATTTTAAGTAGATACATATATTTCATATGTCAGAAAGTACCTGTGTACGTCAGTAATAATTTTTAATATATGTAAAGGTAATATACATAGAGTAAAAGTTTTAATGTAATAAAAAATTTCCATGAAATCTCATCCATAACAAACGAACTTTACCACAAACCATAATAAAATCATATGTCGGTCTAATTACTTTTTATTTACCTACCCTGTATGCGAACTACAGTATGAAAAATATA